CTTATTTCAGGGTTTAAAAAAATATAACACAGGTCTTCGGGGAAACACAGTATCTATATATAAAATATCTATCCTTCCTTAAGTTAGTTATGGTTTATTCAGGTAACCTTTTTCCTGTCTGGGTTTGATATACTGAAGAGAGCCAATTTGATGTAATTGATGTAATCAGACTAGAAAACCAGGAGACTGTGAGTTCTAGTCCCTCTTTAGGCATGAAGTCAGCTGGGTGACCTTGGGCCACACACTCTCAGCACTAGGAAAGAGGAAATTGCAAACCACTGAAATACACAGGCTGGATTCTTGTAAGAAACTTGAAGCTGGCTAACTGTGGCTCCCCAAGAAGCAATCAGGAGTAGGCAGGGGACAAGAATAGTAATCTGGATCATGGTGCAACAAGAATGCCCTTCCAGAAACTCTCCTGGCAGCTGCTGTAGCAGATTCCTGAACATGCTGTGCTTTTAGGCAGGTACATTTTCCTTTTTGGGTGACATCTGGTGATTTTTATGTCATTCTCCTGTCCTGAATGTTGCCAACAATACTGCTGAGGCAGATTTCCACTAAAGGTAGAACTTTTGACGTATGAAATTGATTCATTCAGAGGGAAATCTTGGGAGGATCCCTTAAAATATGAGGCCTAGGCAGAATAATTTCCTACACAGGAAGGAAAGGGAAGTCCTCTGCACTGCTAATTGCTCAAAGTAAGATGTTTAAACTCTTTGCAATTGTGGGAAGCCCAGAAGATTCCAAAAGGGGGAGAAAGAAAAAACTTTTCTGAAATGCTACACTTCCTCACCCACCCACATTCTCTCTCATGCACACACAAACATTGAAATAAACTTGACTGGAGGCCAGTCATGTTCCTCTCATGGAATATGGCCAGTGCCTCAGCCAATCAAATGCCAAAAAAAAAAAAAAATCTCAAGAGATAATTAGCTCAAAGAAAACCTTTCAAAATAGTATGGACAATATTTCCCAACCTGTCTGGAGATTCTCAGTCATCCAGGTCATGGTTGTCCCAAAGCTGCTTTTTTTAAGAGGCAACTGGACTTTCTTTCTTTTTTCTTGAAGACAGATTAACAGAGTTGGAAGGGAGGGAGGAAGTAAGCAGGAGACCCTACACCATTTCTGACAAATGGCAGTCCAATCTTTTCTTGAAAGTCTCAAGTGATGAAGCTCCCACAACTTCCGAAGGCAAGCTGTTCCATTGGTTGATTGTTCTTACTGTCAGAAAGTTCCTTCTCAAAAAGACATTTTGCTTCTCACCCAAAAAGCTTCTTCAATTGAGAACTGAAGAAACTTCTTGATGAGAAGTGAAACGTCTTCAAGGACACATAAAGAGAGCAATTGCCTCTTGAAAAAAGCACCTTTGGGATTTCCCAACCTGATGCCCTCCAGTTGTGTTGGATCAACTCCCATAATCTCTAGTCTGCTCATAATCATGTTCCCATGATTCCCAGCTGTAAGACACCAAGTTGGGATAAAGAACTGAGTTGTTCTGGAAACGGTGTCAAAACTACTGGTCGTTTAGTCCTCTCTATTCACGCCAAGAAGATAATGGCACACCTGAGATTGAAGTACAGTTTCCACCTGTTTTTCTATGTCAGATTAAAAGGCAAAAATTGCAAGTAGCATTTTGGATGTCTAGGACGCTCTATAATGCAGCTGACATTTATCAAAGCCAGGGACATGTCGGTTTCTCAAGTTCCCATCAACTCCCAGACAAGCTTTTTAGGGATGTATGTTTATACAGCGGGATCCATGTGCAAAAGAGAACCAAACAACAGTACTGAACCCTATTCAAGCACTGGGCATTCTGGCTGTCAGAAGCTATTTTTCTTCCTGATTTCTAGTGGCACTTTGGAAAATCTCCAGCATGCTGGTTGGGCAGAATGTGTCAATTGTTTCAAGAGTAGAATCCTCCCCGTTGCCAGGACATGGGAGAGCTCAACCAAAACCCACCCAGTCAGGCGGCTGGCGCATTGCTGGGAAAAAGGCTCTCCTTTGCCAGACAATGGCCATTCAGTCAAAACTGCATTGCTCCTGTGGCAGCCATTTATCTGCAGTCTATAATCAATGAATACTCTGAGGGACTCCAGCCTCTGGACATAGCAACCGCTTTGTGCCTCAATAATAGAGCCAGTGCTCCCAAGGTCATCCTTATACCAATTGCTACCGAGAGATGCGGTTAGAAAGGAGGGAGGCCAGCCAGTGGACCTTCTTCAAGGCTGTCGTAGCTCTTCGTGCTAGAGGTGGCTCAGAAAAACTGGTAGAAGCAGAAACAGCTAAACACTTTAGTTAGCCTCTCTTCTTTCCCAAAGCCCAGACCTACCCACTCCTCCACTTCAGAAGGCTTTTCAAAACAGATTATTGTCTGTTTTCTCTTCCAGGTGCAAGCACTTTCTCAATGGGTTGGCCTACAACTTTTAGCTCCAACAAAGAGAAGGAGGGGGAAATGATGGATATGATAGTGTCTATCCATAGAATCTCAGTCATCCAGGTCACGGTTGTCCCAAAGATGCTTTTTCCAAAGGCAACTGGACTTCCTTGTTTTTCTTTGAAGACATTTCGCTTCTCATCCAAGAAGAGAACTAAAGAAGCTTCTTCGATGAGAAGCGAAACTTTTCAAAGAAAAACAAAATCCAGTTACCTTTTGAAAAAGCACCATTGGGGTAATTCAATAGACCTAATGCAGGGGTCAGCAACCTGCAGCTCTCGAGCCACATGTGGCTCTTTCGCCCCTCTGCTGCGGCTGTCACTCAAAATATGCGTCACAACTGCCAATGTGCGACACCCGCCGGTACGTGATTTATTGAGCTTTTCAACCCCTGGTAGGCCAACCATGGATAAATCCAAGAAAAGTTTCAGAAGAAAACAGAATGTTTTCTGAAATAGTCAGACACAGGAAGGGTTTTGTGGCTCCCGGTGTTTTCTTTTCTGTGTGAAACGGGTCCAAATGGCTCTTTGAGTGTTTAAGGTTGCAGACTCCTGACCTAGTGGATGCCAGGTTAGGAAAAAATAATAAAGGTAGTCCTCAATTGACAACCATTCATTTATTGACCATTCAAAGTTAACAATGGCACACTTAATATAGTTGCAGCATCCCCATGATCATGTGATCAGAATTCAGATGTTTGGTAACTGACTCACATTTATGAAGGCTGCAGTGTCCCAAGGTCATGTAATCCCCTTTTGTGACCTCCTGACAAAGTCAATGGGGAAGCCAGATTCACTTAACAACCATGGCAAGAAAGGTCATTAAAATGGGCAAAACTCAACTTAACTACTGTCTCATTTTGCAACAGAAATAATGGGCTCAATTGTGGTCATAGGTTGAGGAGCTACTTGGAAGCAGATATAATTATGAATCAGCAAGTCTAAGAGCCAAATTTCTCCTTTACCATAAATCCACAACCTGACCAGCACCACCTCACTGGTTGTGCTTGCACAAGTCACTGTACCAGAAGGTAGGATTAGAAGCTGGGTCAGATGAGTGAATGTATTGGGGACCAAGTTGTTAACTTCCAGTTCTAGCCACTTTTTCACCTGTGAATGGAAAAGACAGCATCTTCAGCCCAACAACTTTTGGGAAAAGTAACTTTATAGGATTGCTAAAATCCTATATCCTTCTAAATCTTAATTGCCGATAGGGATTCATTAAGCCCTACATTATATGACATCCCCTGATCTAGAAGCCACTTTTCTTAGTTGAAAATATGAATAAAGACCACTCTGTTCATTCCATTTGGAAGTCTGTTTTGCAGGTGGAAGAGGCGCTTGTCAGCTGCCTTGGGCAATTTTGTAGTCACACATATTCCTAATCAACCCATGAGAAGAGCAACTGTAGGACTTGATGTCTTACTATGGATTTCCCCCCCCCCCCTACAGAATCGGAGAAGGGCAAATACATCAATATAATACAATACATTCTCCGATTCTGTAAAAAAAAAAACAAGAATAAGACATCAAGTCCTACAGTTGCTCTTCTGATGGGTTGCTTAAGGGTACCTGTCTGACTACAAAAGAATCCAGCTACTTCTTGTGTCCCAAGCGAGGCTCGCCTCACCGACAAGTTATTCCGTCTAGGAAGAGATTAATTCTTGTTTCTTTAAGAGGCGAGCCACGCTTGGCGCACAAGAAGTAGCTGGATTATACCAAGTGACCGCCATAGGTGGGGGGAAGCATTCAGATCCAGCAGACACACATGCATTATACTGTATTTATAGCCGACGGCGAAAAATCAAGATTCTGGAGGATGTTGTGTCACTTTTTTCTCTCGCTTCCAATATTTCTCCCAGAGCATTTTGCTGGAACGAATTTTTTCGTCGATGGGGGAAACTACCCCCCGTCTTTAACTCAGCATCGTTCCGTCCCCCCCACCCCGATCTTTTAAAGGAAAAGTTGAGGCGCCGGGGAAGAAGAGTGGGTGGTACCGGGCTCACGGTCCCTTTAAGAGCCGAGCGCTGTGTGCCCGCGAGGATATTGTACTTAAAAGCTGGCAAGGGGCTCGATGAGTTAAGTATCCAGGTGAGTTCTTACAAGGAGAAGCCCGGGGGGGGGGGGGGGGGGGGGGGGGTTTGAAAGGGGGGGGGGGGGGACTTATGGACGAGCTACTTGGAAGCAGAATCCGGACCTTTGCTGACAATTTGAATCGGCAAAGAATGGCTGAAGCTGGGAAGAAAGAGGCGCGTGGGGAATGGGGGGGGGGGGGGTTTTATGGGGGGTGTCCGAGATCGCTTTTTAAGGTGTTTTGTTTCTGCAGAGCCGATCCTGATTCGGGGAATCCCTCAGCTCGTCTGCGGAAGGCTCGGTTTTCCTGCGAGGCTGCGGATCCCTTTCTGTGCTTGGTTTGGCAAAGCTCCTAGCCCAGTTGATTGAAATGCCTGCTCGATCGGAGCCGCTGAATGGAAAAATAACTTCTCCGTAAACTTTTCTCCAGCGCCCCCCCCCCTCCCCCCCCAAACCTCCTATGAATCTCTCGGGGTGAGGAATCTGGTTTGTATCTTGGCTAAACTAACAATTTCAAACTCCTGGATTTAAGGGCGAGTTAGATCGCTTTCGCTCACTCGGAGCGTAGCCCCCTTTTTAAGGGGTTGTGGTAGCACGTGGGGATGCGCTTCTCCGGTCCTGCACCCGCCGGGATCTATTTCCTTTCAGCTGCGGATTTTTCACACTCTGCTGAGGCTTTTCTGCCTCTTGTCTGGTTGCTTCAGGAGGCGCTCCTGAAGGCCAGCATTCTTGTGTGGCTTTGTTAGTTCAACAGTTGCTGACATCCACATTTTCCCCCTGCGCCTTCCTCTCTCCCTTGTTATTTGATAGGGGTTTCTTTTCGTTTTTTTCCGCCAAAGAAAGCAACTTTCAGAGAGCTCTTTTGCTTGAAAACTTTAAAGCTTTAGTCCCATTAACTAAGTAGGAGGGTGGGAGCTGAACTTCTTGCAACAGGAAAGGCTTCTACTATACAAGTTGTGGAAAGAGCTGGAGGTGTGTGTGTGGTTTCTATCCAGCTCATTTTCTTTCAACTGAAGTTAAAGCATCTTTAGACATTACAGAAATTTGAGGGGGACGGGTAGGGTTCTTCAAACTGTGTTTCACAGAACCCTAAAGTTGCTTGAGAGAGTGGGGGAGGGGGGAGTTTGCTGAAATTCAGCCAATTTTCTTTCACCAGAATTTTGCTTCTTGATTGAGGTTCTAGGATTTTCTTTTTTGAAACCTAAAAAGGCTCCAGATTCTGAAAAAGTTTGAAAACTATTGCTTCAGAAGAACTAAGCCTATTTGGGGAGAGATTCCATAGAATTCTTTAAACCCCTCTGCCCCAGATTCTGTTGAAATAGAATTCTTTTGGGAGACTTCTCATAGCCCTAGCACACTGAAGGGAGCATTTCCTATTCCACAGTCAAATTGATTAACTTGTTTCTTTGCACTCTGAGTGTCAGAGTGCTTCTGATGGACTCAAGAGTCCATGGTGCTTCTGATACAATTTAGATGTTCATACTGAGTCAGGCAATGTCCCTTTGGGAGGCAAAATAAGAATATTCCCTGTGAAGTGTAGTTGCATTACTGGTGAGCCTGGAATTGTTCAGGAGATATATTACATGCATGTCATATACTCTTGAGTCTTAAGGCTTCAAGGAAGCAAAATGAATATGAGTGTAGTATTTACTGTTGATTGTTTGCTTTTGTTCATTTCTGTAGTGTGTAGGGGGAATTGCTCCAGTCTCAGGCGAAGAGCAAATAGATTTTGACAGGTCATATAAGGGTTATACCTTAGCAGCTGTTTGAATTGTTGGCATTGCTGAAAAAGTAAAAGAATATTGGCTGCTGGATAGGCGTAGTCTTGCAACACTAGACTTTGTAGTAGGAATTCTAAGAATAAATAATCGTTTCGCAGCTCTGCTACAAACTTTGTTAATCAGAGTAAATCAGAATGTTAGGTACATCCTGATAAGGGTATTTCAGGTCTCCATTTTACATCCCAAATTAAGAAGGTCTGGTTTCCCCAACTTTTGAATACAATAAAAGGTTATTGTTGGCAGAACAGATTCAAGTTAAATTTGAGGAATTCTTAAAAAATAAAAATAAACATTGCCTGGTTAATAGCACAGACTAGACATTCCATTGCTCGAGAGGGATGGAGTTTCTACTTTGTTCCAGAACTACAGTATCTTGCCCAACATCGAGATCTCCAGATGTTTTAAGGATGCTATTCCCTTACTGCAGGTTATGGAAGGCTCATAATAACGCTTCTTCTTTTTCTCTGCAGGCTTTAATCTGCCATCATTCTGTTTTTAAGTGACTTGGAGAGAATGCAGGGGGGCAATGCACTGGCAGTGCTATGGCTCATATTCCTAGCTGTGGCTGGTGCTCTTGGGCAGTATGACAAGCCTGCTTTCACCCCCATCTTCACCCGCAGGCCCTTTATTGTGGCTTGGAATGCACCAACCCAGGATTGTGAGCCTCGCTTCAAGGTTCAATTGGACTTCTCTGTTTTTGATGTTCAGGCCTCGCCTAATGAGGGCTTTGTGGACCAGAACCTGACCATTTTTTATAGAGAACGCTTGGGCCTTTATCCCTACTATGATGCGAACAAAGTGCCAATTAATGGGGGTGTCCCACAAAACAGTAGTTTGGAAAGACATCTAATCCGGTTAACGGAGAGCATTCAAAAATACATCCGGTCCGATTCAAAGGAAGGATTGGCAGTCATTGACTGGGAAGAGTGGAGACCCATCTGGATCCGAAACTGGCAGCCCAAAGACATTTACCGGAATGCCTCTCGTAAACTCGTGCTGGCTCGGCGTCCTAAATTGCAAGAAGATCAATTGAAGAAGGAGGCCCAGTATGAATTTGAATCATCGGCTTGTGATTTTATGAGGGAGACTCTGCGAAATGCCAAGAGCTTTCGTCCACGACAGCTCTGGGGTTACTACCTCTTCCCAGACTGCTATAACCATGACTATCGCAACAACCAAGAGAGCTACACTGGTCACTGTCCTGATGTAGAGAAGACACGGAACGATCACCTGGCCTGGCTCTGGAAGGAGAGTACTGCTCTTTTCCCTTCCATTTACTTGGAACGTGAATTGGCCAACACCATGAATGGCCGCAAATTTGTGAGGTCTCGAGTAAAAGAAGGCCTTCGTATTTCTCAACAACATCATGATAACTATGCTCTACCTGTCTTTGTCTACACCAGGCCCACTTATAGCAATCAGCAGGATCTTTTCTTGAGTGAGGTAAGAATACTTTCTTCTTGGAACTGAGAAACATTATTCAAGAAATTGGGATCTTGAGCAACAGTCTCCAATTCAGGGCTAACCAACCCCTGATACAATTGGAAGGTTACCTACTTGGTATAGAATGCACTCCCGTGCCCTGTACTGCCTCTTTTACTGCCATTCTGCACAGACAAAAATGGGGACTGGGTCCAGCACTTGGCCTGGCACAAAATCTAACTAATGGTCTGCTTTTGATTTCATAAATTACACTGTGACTAGGTTGCCGCATCAATCTCAGTTGATTAATCCATTATTTGCTTAACTATTGTGTGTTGAATAAATTATAATTAAGTGCATTTCTACATCATGCTAAATTATAGGAGCCCTGATGGTGCAGGAGTTAGAATGCAGTATTGCAGGCTAACTCTGCCCACAACCTGGAGTTCGATCATGACATACTCAAGGTTGACTCAGCCTCCCATTTTTCCAAGGTCTGGTAACATGAGGACCCAGATCGTTGGTGGCAATATGCTGACATTGTAAACCACTCAGTGAGTGCTGTAAAGCACTATAGAGCGGTATATAAATCTAAATGCTATTACTATTGCTGTATATAAACCACAATTTGCTAACCCCGAGTATGCTAAGTTAAGAAAAAATCAGATCACATTAGGGTTTAGTGTAATGTATAAACCCAGTCTTTGTGCAGAACCTAGTCTATTAATTTAAAACTAGTTTCATATAAAACATTAGAACTGGTAATTTGCAAAGTGTTAATATGAGGAAAGCATCAAAGCATTAAAACAGCCACTTTCTGCATTAGACTCCAAGCATTCGCTTTGAAGATTATCCCTATGTATGTGGTCTGGGACCACCATTAAAATGCTGTGCATGCATATACATGAACATACATAATGGAAATAATCTTTCAATCTTTCAAAGCAGGTGGGTTAAGCTTTCTAGAGGATGTAGATATTTTAATACCCATGTGTTCATACCCATGTGCTTTTTACAACACCCATTTTTAGTACCTTAGGGAGCCCTAAGATGTTTTTTTTAACCTTGCAATTCTTGAAAAGTTAACATTTTGGAAGTTACCTTATTGGTAGGTATAATACCACAGTTCAGCAAGATCCAGGTCTTTCCCCACCAGATATATGATTAATATACCTCCTGATGTTTTACTCCTTTATGGAAAATAGAACACATCAGCACTTAAAAGCACTGTTTTGGAAATATATTGGCCAAATAGAATTCTAAGAAGTTTATGGAGCAATGTGATGAGAACAACTGCTTTGGTCTATCAGTTGGACCTGCACTGCACTGATTTAGAATAATTGTGTAAATACCTAGGTAGGGAACATTCACTCCAATTTGTGGCTCCAAAGGGGCTAACAAATATTCATACACAGTAGATATGATTGAGGTTTAATTGAACATCTAAAAGGATGGCTTAAATTTCCTCCTAAATTGAGGGGAGCCGACTGCAAGGGCAATTTGTTCCATAGTCTATACCACTTCAGGAGAAGGCAGAATTGGCTGTTGATATTAATAGTAGAGTGTTGCACACCTGCAAAAGATCCCCCATAGAAGTTCGAAGATTGTGCGGTGGGAGGTATGGACCTAGGAAGTCTTGCAAATAATCTGGATCAATTCTGGATCCAAGACCAAACTACAAATCTGGTCCTTCAAGGTACAATAACTCTGTGGAGAGTATGCATATGTCAAATCCAAACCTAAAATTGGTAACAACCCTGTCTTGTCCAAATTCTATCTGTTCTGTACCCAATCCTTTGTGGCTTGGAGACATGGAGCTTTTCAGTTGTGAGTTTGCAGGAAAGAAATGTAGCTGGCTGTTACCACATTATCCTTCCCAGAAGGTTTGTGTATTTACTTATTTATCAAATTTAGGTACCACCCATCTCTCAGAATGACCCAAAATATGGGTCATCAAAATTGATGGTTCTTAGAGCCCCCTTCCCCGACCAGTTCGCAAGCAGCTGAACAGAATTTTCCCATGCTGTCTTCTACTAATGCCTGGACGAATGAGGTCTCATTTTTATATACTTATATGTAGTTCTCTGTGTGTAATATATATATACACATACTTTGTATATTTCACTATCATGTGTTAAGCACAAATCTATGCAGCGCTCCAGATTGAAAGATAAAAAGGTGATTTGAAGTGGGTACGATATATAGGATGTAATATCTGCTATCTTCAACTTCTTTAAAGAATCTTTTTCTGAAATCTCCAAACTGCCCTCTATGTTGCCCTCTATGTAATTCCTGGAAAAGCCATACAACATTTATGCATCAGGAGTTACAAAAAGATGCTTTAGGAGTGCTGAACATGCTCTCAAGCACATTTCTGCCTTCAAAACTGAAGCACTGTAAACTCTATTAAAATTCCAGAAAGAGAAGGAAGCCGTTGAGTTGGATCCCTATCCCAATTAATTCAAACAGCACTGCAAAAAACAGCCATCGTGGTCTAGGTGGGTCTTTTAATTGGGATTCTACATTAAACAGGTGTAATTGAAGTAAACATGGCCTTTTAATGGCCAGAAAATGTTGAGGAGGTAGAGAGGATTTTCTTTTCTCTCTCTCTCTCTTAGGGTGTTTGGGACAGTTTGGGAATTTCTTTGTTTCTCATCTTGAACCCCATTAAGCTTGTTTTAGGATTTCCAAATCTAAAGGAAGAAATGGTTATTTCCAGGCATGAACAGGGGTTGGGGGAAATCTAGAAGTGCAGTAATTGATACCCTCTTCCTTGCGATTATGAGTAATGGCAACTGGGGTACTTGAGTGCTGGGGACACTTTCCTTCCAGCCTTTCGGAAGTTGCATAAAAATGCTTTTGACAACTGTTGGAATATGGATCATTTTTGCTTTTTTCTCAGTATGTTTGAAGTTTGTGGTAGAAGGTGCTGAAGCAAACTGGAGCTGCAGCTTAGTAGATTTAAAAGAGCTGTGATTTTCTCTGTAAATGCCTTGTGCTTGCAAAGTGCTGATGGTTATCTTAAAATAAGAGATATATGTAATAGTAACCTCAATGCACTTCTTTATTACTATAATTCATATTTCTCTCATGCTTAGCAATGGTACAATTTTGCACTGAAGCCTGCAGTGTGTCTAGGCCGTCAAACTACCATTCTATGGGGCTGCTACTTCTATGAAGTAAAAGCTTGTAAGAGGATGCTTTTAATCCCTGCAACTAGAAAATCGTTGAGATGTACTAAGGAGTGCTTTGAAGATAAGCTGTACAATGAAGCATCAAAATGAATATAGACATGTCTAGACAAAGATAACTAGCAGCTCAGCCATTTTTTCCAAATTTGCTGCCTTTTCAGTTAGTATAACAACAACCAACATTAGGAATATGAACCATTGAATTCTGACAAGTACAGTTTCATACGTTGAGTGCAGTCAGGCTGAATTAGTCTGATCCAAGGTCTAATTAGCTGGGTTGTTGCTGGTGATAAAACTGGAGGTTTAAGCATTTTGTGGCTAAAGGGTTACCGGTAGTACCGAAAGGATTTATTATCCACTATCCCTATCCATAACCTAGAATCTTTTCTTTTACACTTCTTACAAAATATTGGACATTCAAGTTGTATACCTACAGTTTGAAACCTGCATCAACAGGTAACCAGTGCTGAAACTCAAATGAATGTTTGAATTATTGATTTTGCTTCTACTTTTGAACAGTGGCTTCTTCTCATTTCCCAAGTTATGTTCCAAATTGCATTCATTCATTCAAGAACATTGGGCAGCCATTGTAACAGCAAAAGAAACGTTTTTGCTATAAGTTATTGGATCCATCCATACTCCCTGCTCCACCTCATTTTCTGCGGATTGATTTGCATAGGTAATAAACTGTCATGGCAAAGTAGCACACATTACTTTCCAGTCTTGGGTTAATGGATATTACTAGCTGTTCACATTCAGATCAACATCTCTGCAAATATGGAGGTGGGCAGATCTATATATTGGTCATTGTCCTCTAATTTCCAATGGTAGCTGGCCCTTCCATCGAAAAGCTGATGAGTTTGGTTATTAGTGAGTGGAATGTTGAGCCTGAAGGATAAATCATACCTTAGAGTTATCCTTTGGCTTCTGAACCAATTATGAGCACACCTACTATTAAAAAGGTGAATTTGATGAATCTAGTATGATCACTTCCTTCTTGGGAGTAAAACTGGCTTCCTGTTACCAGTGAAAGGATCAGGGTAGCTCAGCCCCTTGAACAGTTACTTGATTATCTGACTTAATAGAAGGGTAAGTTATGACGTGGAAGTAAGGATGAAAGCAAAAGGTTGAAAGGGTGTCTGGTTAATGTACTCATTAGCATAAGACTGAAAAAATGTTATTTTCATCTGGGTGAAGTTCTCTTTGCTTGGCTTTGCTTCTGACCCCCTCTACTGATGGGCTTCTTCAATCTATTCTTAAGTTGTCAGGCTAAAATAGTAAGCATTTGCAGAGTCCAGGCATCAGAATCAAACTAGAGCCTATTTTGCAGCCACTATAAGTCTTGTCATCCTATCCTGGCAAACCCAATGGGCCCAGAGTGGTGCTATTAGATCAAATGCCCTGACAGTGATTTCCTGTTTGGGTGGAGGTACCATGATGTTCACTGATGATTTACTAGTCCATTGGAGAGAGAGTTGTGCTCCACAAAGAAGTTGTACTCCAGAAAGGAATATACTGTAGAGGAAAGTATGGGTTGAATAAGAATAGTAAGTCAGACACATTTTGGGGTTTGTAATCCAAACATGGAGGACATGTGCTTGGTTCTTTGCGGTGGTCAAACCTCTTCTATATAAGTTTTGAAACTTTGCAAAGTGGAGGGGTCTGTATCTTAGAATCTGGAAGACAGAGGAACCCAGGAACTTGCTATGACTTTCCTCTCTCATCATAATCCTGGGGATCACTTTATCTCTAGGAGACGAACAAAATGATGCTTGGAATACTACTAGTGAAGGATGATAAAACATGAATTTCACCAAGCATGGATACAAGCTCTCCTGTGTCCTTGTTTAAGGTTAGCTGATCTCTACTAGGGAAGGATCACCTTGCTGTTGTGATGTGTTTGCACAATATTTTGCTGATAAAGTCTCTCACAGTCTTGACTCTTCATGGGCAGAATTCGGTGACTGAGGTGACAATCTTGAGATATTTCCTGGAATTCCTTTTAGTCTCTGCTATGATGAAGTGGATAGATGCTCTTTGACATGAGTTCTTCCACCAGTGTTAAATCTATGCTCCTCATGGTTCCTTTTGGGATGAGGGAAGAATGTAACAAGATGGGCCCAAGTGGTAGTCAGTATGTCTTTGGGGAAGGACTGATGCCAGCTACCCTGAAAAAGATGGTGGTACTGTATTCCTTCTTTTAAAAATCTTTCCCTGGTGCAGTTCATTTTGGACAACTGTTAAGTTTGTCTCCAGCCTTTCCTTTTTGGATGTATCAGTTGCAATTGAGGCTTTGCTAACTGTGACTCTAAATTACTGTAAAGTGCTCTACACGAGGCTACCTTTGAAGATCAGAAGAAATTACAGTTTGTTCCAAATTTAGTTGCTCACTTCTTGGTGAATGAGACTCTACAGAGCCATGTGACTCCTGGGCTGTTAGTTCTATGTTGGCTGCCAGTAAAGTGCCTGAAAATTTGGCAATTCCTAAGTATCTTCAGGGCGAAAAATCAACAAATCAGCTCACCCAGTAATGCAAAAAAGGATGAATAGTGCCCCATTCGGGAGACATGGGATAGTTAAACAGTATTTCTCAGTAATGCCCCCTGTTTTAAGGAAGCCAATCAAGGCTCATCTTTTCTGGATGCCGAAGCAAACTGAACACTTCCAGTGTGCTGAAGGATGACGGGTTGATGCTATTGAGGGTTATAAAGTATTCCTGTTTTTAAGAGTTTAATATTTATATTAGTAATGTTCTGTTGATGTTAATGATTGAGGGCCCCTGGCAATTGTGTCAGAATACAAAAGAAAAAAATTTGCTTGCCACAGCTAATGTAGAAAGCTACTTGCTAGATTATTGTGGAATAATAATAAGTGGAATAATAATAAGTGGAACAACTTGCCTCCAGAAGTTGTAAATGCTCCTAACACAGGAAGTTTTAAAGATGAGATTGGATAACTATTTGTTTGAAATGGTATAGGGCCGTGATGGCGAACTATTCTATTCTATTCTATTCTATTCTATTCTATTCTATTCTATTCTATTCTATTCTATCCCCATTCCCATTCCCATTCTATTGATTTTCCCCACCTTTACCTATAAGTAGCTCAAGGTGGCAAACATTCACAATACTCCTTCCCCCTATTTTCCTCACAACAACAGCCCTGTGTGATGGGCCAAGAGAAAGTGCCTGGCCCAAAGTTACAAGCTGGCTTTTATACCTAAGGCAGGACTATGACTCATAGTCTTTTGTTTTCTAGGCCAGCACCTTAAGCACTACACCAAAGTTGTATTATTTGAAAATACAGGATGACAGACAAAGATATGGAGTAGGACTACGGTCTAGTAAAGCAATTTGGCCAGGCAATTTATGAAGGGAAAAGGCACATTTTTTCTATTTCCTATTCAGGAGATGATTCATCTGCTATGATTCTGCCAGAAATATATTACTTCAATACCCAAAGGTTTTGAATAATAAAAGGACCTTTTTAAAGCTCTTTTTGCTAAAGATTTAGACCCACGTTTAAAGTATTATTTGTTTTTATATAACTAATAGTAATTATTAGTAACTTATTGGCATCCATTCTAAGCAGGAAAACATTTTACTAATCAGCTAATGTCCAATTTTAGTACTTATATGCTTGTACAGCTGGTCATCAACTTATAACCATTCATTTGGTGACTGTTCTAAGTTACAACGGCACTGAGAAAAGGGACTTATGACTGTTTTTCACTCCATGACTCTTGCAGCATCCCCATGGTCACATGATCAAAATTCAAGACACTTGGAAACTGGCATGTATTTATGACAGTTGCAGTGTTCTGGGGTCAAGTGATCACCTTTTTTTTTTTAATCTTAAGCAAAGTCGATGGGAAAGCCAGGTTCACTTAACAACTGCAGTGACAACTGTGGCAAGAACGGTCGTAAAATGGGTCAAAACTCACTTAGCAACTCTCTTGCTTAGCAGTGGAAATTATGGGCTCAGTTGTGATCATAAGCTGTGGAGGACTACCGGTAACTCTTTTTGGCTATCTCATTCCAGACAGATCTGATCTCCACCATAGGTGAGAGTGCTGCTTTGGGGGCAGCGGGTGCTATCTTCTGGGGAGACGCTGGAAACACTGGAAGTAAGGTATGTATTATTTCCCCTCCCTCCTCCCTCATTCCTACTTTATATGATCTCATGCTAAGCCTCACACACAGTAGTTTTCCCGTGGATCTCTTGAACAAACCTTTTGATCTCTCTTCTGTTAGGAGCATGTCAGGTCCTGTACACTTTATCAAACGGCTACTATCCCAACAATGCCTCCCTGACTGTTCTCAGTCTCATTGGTGTTAGGTGGAGCTGTTTGGACAAGTTGTAAGTGAGCTTATTAAGAGGCGGGCTTTGCACATTTTTGGAAGGATGTAAACGTAAGAAAGGAATTATGATAGGTATTTTGAGTTACAGTAAAAAAAAAATACTTTACATCTTTAAAATATGTAACTTTTTTATGAGCATAGAGCTAATTTACATTCTTCAAGTTGTTAATAAAGAATAAAGATACAAAAAAAAAAGAGAGATACTGAAGCAAAGTGTAAAAAGTAAAACAAAAACATCATAAGGAGGAACTTTCAATTACTGTTTTTTCCCCCTTTCCCTTTCATATCCCTAACCTCTAATCTCTACTTAAGTATTGATACTTTGTTTGGAATATTGAAGGTTGTTGCTTAAATTTATTTGAATAATTTCATCTGATATTTTGATTGCTCTCTCCTTGAAAACCATATTCCAAATGCCTATGCCTGTCTCGCTATATGATGTATCATATGGAAAGGGAGCTATTCCTGCTTGAATTGAGTTCAACGTCTGTTCAGAATTTCTATATTTTGTCATCGCTGCGTATTCTCCAATATTGGTCTCAATTCTTCTATTGTTGGCAGGGTTTTACTTTGCTGGTGTTGTGAATTTCCCTTGATCCTTCTCATTTTCATTATATCCACGAACATTTTGATGGCATTTGTGAAACAAATCCTTTATATGTTGGACCCGTTTCCTGCCTTCTCATATTTTACTCATTCGGATTTTCTTCTTCTGCAGAAAAATTGCCAGCTGATTAAAACATACATAGAAGAGCCCCTTGGCCGTTACATCATCAATGTGACAACCGCAGCTGAGCTCTGTAGCCAGACTCTTTGCAGGGGCCATGGCCGGTGCCGCCGCCAAGAAAGTGAGGCCAGCATCTTTCTGCATCTCAATCCAAACAGCTTCCAGATCTACCGGAATGAATCCAAGCATCCAAAGCCACTCATGGGAGCCAAAGGGAAGCTCTCTCAGGCAGACATTTCCTTCCTACAAGCCAACTTCCAATGCCATTGTTACCAGGGGTGGCATGGAAAAGGGTGCGAGAAGCAGCTGAATCCACCCGGAGGTGGCCCCTCTATTTCTTACACGCTTGGACTCCAGTTGCTGATGACTGTCTTCCTTCTGGTCTGTTTGCACTAGGCCACCTCTCCAGTGGAATCTGTAGGGTGCAAGGGAATCCATGGTGCTTGGAACAATAGGAGAGGCGGTGCAATAGGCAAGGAAGGTAGGCGGCCAAGAAAAAGTAGGGGCAGAGCCCTTATATCTTTATTTAGCAGTAAAGTAGCAGACCTCTTAAAGAGACGGCTCTACCTCTCCCCTCAGCACTCCCAGCCCTTCATGAAGCAAAAGAGAAAGGATCCTTCTAACCACTGAGATTGCCTCTTCAGAGAACTGGACAAGTGGAAGAAAGGGTGCTTTAGAGACTGGCAAAGGAAAGATGCTTCACGGGGCATGACCTCTGTGGCCCTTGCCTTGGTTTGTCTGGTAGCTTCTTTTTATCACGGGAACCCATAACAACGCTGTAGGTCAGCTACCCAAAAGAGAGGCTCACACAAGGGACCTGGGGCCAGAGCACAGGCCCTCAATGCCTACATCCAGTCCTTCATCCTTGCTTTGGATAAGGACTAGGAAGGGGCTGCTTGGCTCTTCTGTTTTAGGGAAAGGTGCCACAAGCAATGAGAGGCCTTGAAGCACAGGTGTGGAGGTTTCATGGAGCTGCTGTAATGAAGAAAATTGCTGCTGTTCTCCATCTCTTTAGATAGGTGGTAGAGAAAGAGGTGAGTCCAGGGGGATTACCTTGGAGAGTAATTTGGAAATCACTCTTTGCTGACTGTGGGGTGGGCAGCACAGTTTTTAATGGCCCAGATAAGGCAAATGACAGGGAAAAACATGCCTGGTTTGTCTGTGGCCACTGTCAACTTGGAAGCCTGCACCTCTTACAGGAAAACCAAAAAGTTTTACCTCAGAATTAAAGAGACACAGAGAAAATCATGTGTGTTTTGTATTGTGTGAAGAAATCTTGCTGCTTGCCCTGGCACTCTTTCTTCCCTTTGCTCTTTGCCAAGAGGGACATTCCAGCTGAAAGCAACCTCTAGTATGCAATAATGGATTTGGCCTGCTCTTTGCATGACTTCCCCAGGGCAAAATTTGCCTTTGTCACAGAAGGTGGTCCCTTGATGGTGCCGATTTCAAGCTAGGGAGAATACCATATAGCCTGTGCTTGATAGAGAGGGTCCTGGCCTCTGCTGTGACCAAAGGGATAAAGATCAATTGCAACAGTTGTCTTTTTCATTCAGAGTGAGGACAGGGGAGGCTCACTTGCCCTCTTCTGGAGCAAGCACTTAGCTAGCAAACCCTTTGCCCAGTTCTTCCTGTTCCTTGCCATGAAATCAGTGCACCCTCTTTAGCGAAAGCTAGGCTGCTTTCGTGGGTCTGTGGGTCTCATGCAAGAAAAACAGGAGAGGGAATTCCCTAGATTAAGCCCTACTTATTTCTTCCTTGTGAAGAATAGCTGGCATTTTGTTGTTACTGTCTTTTAAATCGGCTCCAAAGTTTAGCAGAGCCAGACCTCCCATTTGACAAAATGCAGAAGCTCCCACAACCAGCCTATAAGGAGGAATGAACCAAGACATGCCAAGATATTTTGTTTTTCAGTATAGTAAATGTTCCAAGCTTGAAACATTTAAAGCAACAAGTGGCCATTTTATTCCATTCTATTTCTATTTTTCACTATAGATAACATTTTGCAAAGAGACTTTTACAGATTAAAATAATCTCCCTGGCCAACCTTTCTGCAGGTTAGATATCAAATAACAACATGGATTATTTCCACATCTATTTGGTAATTTTAAGATAATAACTACTAGGGAGTGAGAGTATATTTCAAGTTCTTTATGGTGAGCATTTCAAATATTTTGAATTCTTTTTTGTCTGGGGGAACAAACCCATTGAAAAATATTTCCAATGAAACATGAGTTGGGTTTGGAAAAAATTTTTTAAAATTTTGTGCATACTTTACTGGTAAAACACATCTCAGTATTATAAAAGGGCTTCTTGGATCATGCTCGAGGAAATTCTGATACTTCATGGACTTCAGTCTTAATGGAAATTTTACCAGAGTAGAAAGATGTGGTAGAAATCTAAAACGCTTAACTTGATCAACAAAAGGCAGAGATATAAAAAATTAACACCGCCCCCCTTCCATTGATTTTGCAGGACAAAATAAATAAGCACTGAACTCCTTTTGTCAAATTCTTGGCACTGGTAACTTGTTTTGTTTTCTTTATCAGAACCATTTTTAACCTTCCAATGATCAAACTGGGAATTTGAAGCCTTGTACACATGTGGCCATTTGTTTCATGAGGTTAGATTGCATGTAGTTGTGTACAAAGGACAAATACAATTGTTTTTCAGGATGGGGAGGTGCCATTCTTTTACACTTTTACCTTGAAATGGGATGTGGCTTATACCAATCCTTGCTACTCCCCCAGAATGAATCCGTCTACTATATAACCTTGGAAGTATATCTTCTAGGTATGACTCTGGTATGACAGTGATCAAGGTGGTTAAATTGCCAAATTCTTATTTTAAATTGTTGCTCAGGGACTGTGAGCCTAACCCATTGCACATTTCTGAATTGTTCTCCTAAAAGCACTAGCTTTTAGCACTAGTGAAAATATCAAGGCCACTGAATTATAAATGACGTCACCTGTTCACAAATGCAAAATCTCTCAACTACCTTAGCAGAGAACATGGCTAGAATTCAGTGACGTGGTCTGTCTATCTGTATCCCTTTGTTCCAATTCTAAAAGGTTGGTTTCTCCCGCCTCCCACTACTTACGTTCTGCTGCACAAAACGTTTTCCACCCCTAGTTTAAAAAAACGCAGCTGCCATTGGAGATAATATAGTTGCTACTTCACAATGTAGTTGGCTGGATAATTAAGAAAGCAGTGGGAAGAACATAAGAAGACTAAGCCAGAAGAAAAAGAGGAATGTTTTTGTAGCTGTTCTGTTGGAATTCCTCTGCTGGTGAAGTTCAAAAATCACTGTGTTGGTTGATGCTGAATCAAGGGATCTACACTAGTAGGTGGTGAAAAATGCTTCTTTTTTTTTTTTTTTGCTTCTCTACTTTTGCCCTTTGAGATTCAAATCCTATTGACATTTGGAGTCTGCTTAAACATGCCATGATTTTACTATTTGTCCTCACAATTCCAGCTTTTATTAAAAGCTCAAATAAAGTTTGAATACATGGACTAATCAGCAAGAAGCTGCTTGATTAGGAAGGAAACAAAAGACTGCTACAAGTAGCTACAGGCAAGGATTCTGTTCAAGTAAACCAATGGATGAAATTCAGCTGTTGTAACCACTTGCACTCATATGCTTCTCCCCTGCTTTTTAGTTCTGGTAGTAGATCCATTCTCCTTAATTCTTAATCCTCCTTCAGACAGCATCACCATCAGATGGATTTGTAACTGGATGACCAACTGCACTCAATGGAACTGCATCTACATGGAATGAAGTATGCAGTGGGGTACCCCAAGCTCTGTTTTAGGCCCAGTACTCTTCAACATCTTCATCAATGATTTGGATGAGGGTATAGATGGAGAACTCATCAAATTTGCAGATGACACTAAGCTAGCAGGAATAGCCAACATTCCAGAAGATAGGCTTAAGATACAGAAGGATTTTGACAAATTTCAACATTGAGCAGTATCTAACAAAATGAAATTCAGTAGTGAAAAAAGTAAGGTTCTACATTTAGGCAAGGAAAACCAAATGCACAGGTACAATATAGGTGGTACCTCGCTCAATAGTAGTAACTGTGAGAGGGATCTTGGAGTCCTAGTGGACAATCACTTAAATATTAATCAGTAGTGTGCTGTATCTGCCAAAAAACCCAACAGAGTTCTAGGCTGCATTAACAGGAATAGAGTCAAGATCACGTGAAGTGTTAATACCACTTTGTAATGTCTTGGTAAGACCACACTTTGAATACTGTATCCTGTTTTGGTCCTCATGATATAAAAAAGATGTTGAAGACTCTAGAAAGAGTGTAGAGAAGAGTAACAAAGATGATTAGGGGACTGGAGGGTAAAACACCTAAAGGCAGGACCAAGAATCAATGGATGGAAACTAATCAAGGAGAGATGCAATTTAGAACTAAGAAGAAATTTCCTGACAGAACAATAAGTGGAACAACTTGCCTCCAGAAGTTGTGAGTGCTCCAACATTTGAAGTTTTTAAGAAGAGATTAGACAACCACCTGTCTGAAATGGTATAGGGTTTCCTGCTGGACTAGAAGACCTCCAAGGTCCCTTCCAACTCTGTTATTCTATTCTATTCTATTCTATTCTATTCTATTCTATTCTATTCTATTCTATTCTATTCCTAATAAGGATACTCATTGGCTATTGACATATTGCAGTTGGTAATTGTTGACCTTGTATTTCTCATTCTAGTAGAAGGGCACCCCCTGGTGCCACAAAAGAGCTAGCAAATCCATTATCTCCCGCCTAGACCAACAGAGATTGTAGTTATGTTTACATGGGTAGTAATGTCTCATTTCCTTTAAAACAAAAACATCTGTGAGCCTCAGGCAGTGATTTCTCTAGGATGTATTCTGCAACATTGCCTATCAGATGGCAGGCAGGTTACGGTAAGGCCCATCAACATCAGTTTTCTCCTGAGTGCATATTATCCCCCAAAGTAGGCCTGGATGATTCCCCTGAGAAAAGACTCATAGACTCATATGTAGTAAAGACCCTAAATCAGAACATATTTTCTATCTTTTATTATTTCATTCCATCTCATCACATAGATTGCATGGTTCCCTTGAGATCTGGAATATGCCGAATACCCTCAGATTCTATATCTGTTTTGTCACTGTAGTTCAACCATTTGCCTTGGTTTAAGACGATTAATCTTTGGATTCTTGAAATTAAGCATAAATTCTCTTTTAGTATTTAATCATTAAACATGAGTTAGAATTAAGGACATGAAGCGAGTAAAGAATATTAACTATAGCTTAAAATCTATTTCACAAATTTGGCAATTCAGCATTCCAGAGCTACAACATAGAATAGATGCTCAGTTTAACAGAACACAAACGTATTTCATGCAAACCCATGATAATTTAAACTTAAAACATGGTTTCCGAGAGTGTTATTACTGATGTTACAATTATGTCTTCTGCAGTTGTATTGTTGACGGATCATTTTAGACAAATCATGATTTCTGAACATCTCACAGTTGGTGGGATCCATACAACACATAAAGCCAAAACCAAGTAAACCACTTGGCTCAGTGTAAACCAGTTCCATCTACAGCTTTCTCCAGGAGAGATCTCTCCAGCATGGGCTTAGGGTACTGAAATTCAATGTGTCTGGAGTACATTATAGTAGATTGCCTGAGGCAGATGTACTGCAACCTCAGACCAATTTTGTACAGGGAATATTGAGAAATCATTGCTCAGTAGGAGAACATAGAAAAAAAAATTGTTTTTGTTTTTTTAATCCCTGTTACTGCCTGTAATAGAGGCCTCCAATAAGTTTCAGAAAGTCGGAGGGAGAAAAACCAAGAGTATAGCCATCCATTAGAATAGAGGGCACAAAATCAGATAGGACTACTGACCAAAGCCAAAATATAAGGTGGTGAGGTGTAATGGTTAGCATGGTCTAACTAAGACTTTGAGGGAACCAGGTTTCAATTCTTACTCAGCATAAAGTTTGATAAGTGACTTTGCGTAATATGATACAGTTGGGAAATGTCAACTTGTAAACCTTGAGCTGCTGGGAAGAAAGCTATGCACCACGTGAAATATGGCAGTTCACACAGGTAGATAGGAATAAAGCCTTAATCATAACAACAATGTCAAGAGGACCTATATTCGATAGATTTTAAAACATTAGCTTTGTATTATTTTATTCTTTTTGGTGCAGCAGTACGTTTAAGCTACATATCTACACCAGTTCTAATGTGACAGAGAAGGAAG